CCCCCCAGACTTCCCAGAACTGATTACAGGGTTAAACAAACATCATCCCCAATCTAAATATAACTACCCACATATAAAGCAATCAAAAATAAGCATATTTTAACTCAAATGAAAACAATCAAATATAAGCATACTTTAACTCTAAACGTTTATATATATATATATATATATATATATATATATATATATATATATATATATATATATATATATATATATATATATATATATATATATTAAAAAAACCACTTTCATAATCTCTCTAAAAATAATCTATCCATCTTCCCCAAACTTAAAGTTAAACCTTCAAATAGTCAAAAATCTTTACCATTTCTTTAAAATAAAAAACAACCAGTAATCTTATTACTGCTGTTATTCATTTCTTAATTCAAATCTTAAGTATAATAATAATTCACAAATTATTTCCCAAATATCTAATAATATTCTCAAATATTTTGAGCCCATTTAATCATACCATCTTTCATTCTATAAATTCTTCTTATATAAACTCTATTTCAATCTTTAATCTTTAATCTCAAATACTTTCAGTCCTTTAAAATAGTATAAATTTCTTCAAATAATAACTTCCATTCATTATTAATACGGGCTTGTTAATTTGGTATTTTAACAGAGGGGGAAAAAAAAAGAGGTTGGGAATTAAACCGTAACAGAATCCTTTACGATGTTAGCAAAACAGCTCTCTTTAAAAATTACACTGTGTATGCAGGTTTGATTGTTGTTTGAGAATCAAATTCCCCCGAGCAGAAACACCCCTTTGGGGACCAATTAAGATCCCTGTAAATCGAATTTATCTCGGCTTGGGACGAGTAATTGCAGCTTCACACAGCTATGGTTTAGCTACCAGCTGGGTAGCTTCGAAACGAATCCCAAGATGTTCCCCACGGTTAAACCCAGGTTTCCCTGTAATGTTTAATCATTTGGGCTGTCGCGTCCTTAGCACCCTGCTTTCCAGATTCTCACAGCCTCCTGACGTTAACGCCAAGGGTGGCCACTCGCGGTCAGCCTCTGTGGATGGACCAGAGGGTTATGCACGCGTCATAAAAATCTGGAGATATGACAGGAGAATGAGAACGGTGAAATAACCTGGTTAGGAGCCTTTGTTCTTTAAGGCTGCGCCCGTTTTGTGGAAGTAAAGAGTTTCCTGTTGAAGTGTACACACCATTTTTTCAAAAGGTAGCATCAAAATGAGGGGTCCTTGGTGTTCTCCTGAGCTTGGCTGTTTTCTTCCAGATGTTTCATGGCCCAAACTAGGCAATATCAACAGTGCTACTGATGCTAGCACTGATGATGTTACCCAGTTGGGTCATGAAATGTCGGCAAGAAAACCACCAAGCACAGCACCAAGGTGCTCACAGTCCTCCTCCTCCTCCTCCTCCTCCTCCTCCTCTCCCTCTTTCTCTTCCTCTTCCTCTCCACAAATCCCACTTCTTTCAAGCACTGATCATGTGATCTAGTAGATCATGTGATCTAGTTGGGTCATCAAACGTCTGCAAGAAAACCACCAAGCACAGCCCCAAGATCCTCACACTCCTCCTCCTCCTCCCTTCTAGCACTGATGATGTTACCTAGTTGGGTCATGAAACGTCTGCAAGAAAACCACCCAGCTCAGAGAGCACCAAGGACCCCACAGTCATCACCCTCCTCCTCCTCCTCCTCCTCCTCCTCCTCCCTTCTAGCACTGATGTTGTTCCCTAGTTGGGTCATGAAACGTCTGCAAGGAAACCACCAAGCTCAGAGAGCATCAGGGACCCCACAGTCCTCCTCCTCCTCTTCCTCCTCCTCTCCGCAAATCCCACTCCCTTCAAGCACTGATCATGTTAACTAGTTGGGTCATGAAATGTTTCCAAAAAAACCACCAAACTCAGAGAGCACCAAAGACAACAACAACAACAACAACAACAACAACAACAACAACAACAACAATATAATAATAATAATAATAATAATAATAATAATAATAATAATAATAATAATAATAATAATAATAATAATAATAATAATAATAATAATAATAAAGTTGGAAGGGACCTTGGCGGTCATCTAGTCCAACCCCCTGCTCAGGCAGGAAACCCTATACCATTTCAGATAAATGGCTGTCCAGTCTCTTCTTAAAAACTTCCAGTGTTGGAGAATTCACCGCTTCTGGAGGCAGGTGGTTCCACTGGTTAATTGTTCTCACTGTCAGGAAGTTTCTCCTTAGTTCCAGGTTGCTTCTCTCCTTGATTAGCTTCCATCCGTTGCTTCTTGTCCGGCCTTCAGGCGCCTTGGAGAAGAGCTTGACTCCCTCTTCTTTGGGGCAGCCCACAGGAGGACCCCACAGTCCTCCTCCTCCTCCTCCTTCTCCTCCTCCTCCTCCCTTCTAGCACTGATGATGTTACCTAGTTGGGTCATGAAACGTCTGCAAGAAAACCACCAGGCTCAGAGACCACCCAGAACCCCACAGTCCTCCTCCTCCTCCTCCTCCTTCTCCACTTCCTCCCACTCCTCTTCCTTCTTCTCTTCAACCCCTCCTTCCTTCTAGCACTGATGATGACACTCGATTGGGTAATGAAATATGTGCAAGAAAACCACCAGGCTCAGAGAGCACCAAGGATGTCTCCTCTTCCTCCTCCTCCACCTCCTCCTCCTCCTCCTCCTCCTCTCCACAAATCCCACTCCCTTCAAGCACTGATCGTGTTTGGGTCATGAAACATCTGCAAGAAAAGAACCCAGCTCAGAGAGCACCAAGGATGCTCCTTTATTGACAGCATCCAAATGTTCTTCCAAACCCTGAAGCTGATGGACGGGGACCCAGAGAAAGTGCGCCATCAACTTAAATCAGTCGTTAACGATGAACGGATAGGCTGA